ATAAAAGCTTCATCCGATTCAAGCTATATCAAAGCTCAAGTATTGCTCTCTATATGAGGATATTAGCTTTCTTTTGTTTTTTCTCTCTAGTGCTAGAATGTAGGCAAAGAGTTACTGAGTTTACTTGAAGCTATTGGGAATCACACACACGTTTTCGTACTTGTGTTTTTAAGCGTTTTTAATCGGTCGACCGTGCCGGTCGACCGACGAGGCTCTGCTTGTTTTTCCAAATTTCTTTAGCTGCCCGCGGTCGACCGAATTTTTCGGTCGGTCGACCGACGGTATTTTCGGTCGACCGATTATTTCTTCGGTCAACCGATTTGGTCAGCCGCGATTTTTTAAAACGGTCGTTTTTCGCCTCGACTCCTGTGCTTTCACTTATTAGTGATTGGCACAGTCTGAGGTCACAACCTGCAAAGTAGATTATCTTCCTAAATAGGAAGATTGGGTTTTTGTTTTTATTGATTTAAACTCTTTTATAAAAACCCCCAAGCCTGCTTCTTCTTCCCTAAGCCCTAACGTTTTGAAAGAGAACCAGAGAGCTCTGTTTCTTCCTGAGAAAATTTTCAAATCAAACTTGTTCTTCTGAGTTCTTGTGTGTGTTTCACTTCCCAGCTTCAGTACTCTTCTCTTTGCTATAGGGGCTTGTGTAAAGAGAGTGTCTTGCATTTATCTTCTGCTGCTGTGAGTGAGATCTTGTGTAGATCGACTGTGAGGGAGTGTGATCTGTGAGATCAACTGTGTAGTGAGAGAGAGATCTTGTGGGATCATTGTGTAGACGAAGTTCCGGCTTCCAAACCGGATGTGTTAGTGGATTTCTCCTCGAGAGTGGGGAGCGGGGACGTAGGTCAGCGGGCCGAACCTCGTTAACACATCGCGCGTCAAGGATAACGATTCCTAACTTTATCTCTTTCTTTATTATTGCACTTCTGTTACTGTGGTTTGTTTGTACTGAATTTTAATTGCATATTAGAGCCTCTTGACCCTAATCACCCCCCCTCTAGGGTCCTTCAATTGGTATCAGAGCTTGGTCTCTATATCAGTTTTTGGTTTAACAACCTTAGAGAAAAGATCTAATGGAGGCATCTTTGAATATGCATATGCTAGAAGGACAATCCACAACTAGGCCACCTCTCTTCACCGGCACTAATTTTGCTTATTGGAAAGCTAGGATGAGAATTTACCTTCGTTGCATAGACCTTGACATTCTAGAGCTCATAGAAGAGAAATATGAAGAAAAGTCCAAAGTCGGGAACATGACCGATGGAGAAAGGCACCTAGCTAATCTCAACGCTAAGGCTATGAACGCCTTAATTTGTGGTCTTTCCCCTAATGAATATAATAGAGTTTCCACGTGTGCAACCGCATACGAAATTTGGCAAAAATTATGTGTCACACATGAAGGAACACCCCAAGTTAAGGAATCTAAGATTAGTGGACTCATGCATGATTATGAGCTATTTAAAATGCTTCCTAATGAATCCATTGATGCTATGTTTTCCCGTTTTACTAATATCATCAATGAATTACATGGTCTAGATAAGCAATTATCCATTCAAGAGATGAACTACAAGATACTTCGCTCATTGACTCCGGCATGGGAGCCCAAGGCTACGGCCATTGAGGAAGCTCATGACCTCACTACCTTAGCTCTTGATAGCCTCATCGGAAAGCTCAAAGTGCATGAGAAGAAGCTCAAGGGGAAGGAGAAGGAGGAAGTGCCATCACGTGAAGTTGAGGAGCCGTCACCAAAGTTGAAGACCATAGCTCTCAAGGGAGCTAGTGACAACTCATCTTCGTCGTCGGAGAGTGAAGTTGATTTTTCTAGAGAAGTGGCTCATCTCTCTAGAAGAATCTCTAGACTCATAAAGATGAACAAAAAATTTAACCCCCGATCTAACAACAAGTTTTCCTCTCGTGTAGGTAAATGTTTTGAATGCAATGAACCGGGTCACATCGCTAAGGATTGCCCCAAGCTCAAAGAAAAGTACATGAAGTACAAGAAGAAGAAGGCTATGTATGCCGGATGGGAAGAATCCGAACCAAGTGACTCGGATAGTGATGAAGAAGGAGCCAAACTTGCTCTTCATGACCCAAATGTTTGTTTCATGGCAAATGAACATGAGGTAATATCCGAGGCCGAAAGTGAATCTTTTTATATGCAATGTGACATAGCTATGGCTTTAGAAGAGTTGAACTTTGAATTTAAAAGAATGTCTAAAGAATACTCTTCTTTCAAAAAATTGCATGCCTCTTGTGATATTAAGCTAGAACAACTAACAACCTCTCTTGCTCTAAAAGATGAATTGCTTGGAGATCTCGATTTTGAGAACAAGCAATTAAGATCAAAGATTGAAAGACTAGAAATTGAGGGTTGTAGGACTAGACCCACTCATGCTTATGCCAACTACAATCATCATGGTAGAAATAGGTTTCGTGGTTCTAACATTCGTACATACAAAAGAAATTTTGTATGCACCTATTGTATGAGACATGGACACATTTCTACTCATTGTAGAATTAAAGACAATGAAGATTTTTATGGTTTGATATGGGTACCCAAAGGTACCAAGACTACTAACCACCAAGGACCCAAGACATGGGTACCTAAAGCTACTACACCTTCATCTTCTTCTTTTGTAGGGAACGTCACGGCAACGACGTAAGGAGATGTGGTACCTTGATAGTGGTTGCTCACATCATATGACGGGCAACAAAGAGTTATTTGCAACCCTATCAAGGATTGAAGGAGGCAATGTCTCCTTCGGTGGAGGTGAGAAAGGCAAAATCGTTGGTATTGGCTCCATTGGTAAGAAACCCTCACCCATAATAGAAGATGTTTATTTAGTAAGTGGTTTGAATCATAATCTTCTTAGTATTAGTCAATTGAGTGATAAAGGTTTTGATATTTCTTTTAAACCGGACAAATGCATCATTAGTATGGATGGAAAAATTGTTTTCATTGCAAATCGCAAGTCTAATGTTTACATTTTTGAGATGAATGAGTTAGTGAATCAAGATGTAAAGTGTCTTGCGGCAATTGATGAAAATCCTTGGATTTGGCACAAGAGACTTGGACATGCAAATATGGAGCTAATCTCAAAATTGTCTAAGAAGAATCTTGTGAAAGGGCTACCTAACTTGCACTTCATAAAAGATACAATTTGTGAGGATTGTGCCAAAGGTAAACAAACAAAGTCTTCTTTCAAATCCATCCATGAGGTATCGACTTCTAAACCCTTGCAATTACTTCATCTTGATTTATTTGGTCCTATGCGTGTTACCTCTCTTGGAGGCAAACACTATGTTTTTGTGATTATTGATGATTTTTCTCGTTTTACATGGACAATATTTCTTGCAAAGAAAAATGATTGTTTTGAAGAATTTGCTAATCATGTTAAAAGAATTGAAAATGAAAAAGATTTGAAAGTTGTTAAAATAAGAAGTGATCATGGTGGTGAATTTCAAAATGAATTTTTCTATGATTTTTGTGCTCATCATGGTATAACTCATATGTTTTCCGCTCCTAGAACACCACAACAAAATGGTGTTGTTGAACGGAAAAATCGCACCATACAAGAGATGGCACGCACTATGCTTAATTCTTTTGATTTGCCAAAATATTTTTGGGCGGAAGCCGTCAATACGGCTTGCTATGTTTTAAATCGTGTTTTGATTAGACCAAAACTTAAGAAAACCCCTTATGAACTTTATTTTGGAAAAACTCCTTTCATTGGCTATTTTCGTGTCTTTGGTTGCAAATGTTTTATTTTAAATACAAAAGATCATCATGATAAATTTGATTCCAAAATTGATGTTGGTATTTTCTTGGGTTATGCACCTCGAAGTAAGGCTTATAGGGTCTTCAATAAACGAAGCCTCGTTGTTGAAGAATCTATAAACGTTACTTTTGATGAGACTAATGTTGGCTCTCAAGTTGTTTTGCCTAGGAAAGATGATGATGATGATATTGAGGGAGGATTGGACTTGTTGCAAATCAATGATACTCCCTCTATAGAAGCTCAAAAGGATGTAGATAGCACCAATGCTCAAGAACCAGTTGAACCACCTAAAGTTTGGAAATTCACATCAAACCATCCAAAGGAACAAATCATTGGGAGCCCTTCAAAAGGAGTTATAACTCGCTCAAAAGCCTTGAGTGAATGTGGTAATGTTGCATTTCTATCTCAACTAGAACCTAAAAAGGTTAATGATGCTTTGAATGATGAATTTTGGGTTTTGGCTATGCATGAAGAATTAAACAATTTTCAAAGAAATGAAGTTTGGAAGTTAGTTCCTAGACCTAACAATGCTAGTGTTATTGGTACTAAATGGGTTTTTAGAAACAAACTTGATGAACATGGCATTATTACTAGAAATAAAGCTCGTTTGGTTGCACAAGGATACAATCAAGAGGAGGGCATAGACTATGATGAAACCTTTGCACCGGTTGCAAGGTTGGAATCTATTAGGATGTTTTTGACGTTACATAACGTTTGAATATAACGCAAGAACAAAATAACGTAGGTTATTTTCCCTATAACGTAGGTTATGTAACGTAACACTGTAACGTTTAATAACTTAGGTTATTTTGTCAATGGCTTAGATTGCTTTAAAAAAAAGAACGGTTGTGATTTGATTTACTTGTTAACAAAACCCTAGAGGGCCTAAACTAACCCGTCACCTCCATTTCTCTTGAACACCAGCGAATCCCCCTTCTGATCTCCCGTCGCCTCCATTTCAGCACGCGATCGAAGCCTTTCCGCAGGCATTCGAAGCTCTCCCGCAGGCATTCGAAGCTCTCCCGCAGGCGTTCGAAGCTCGCCCGCACGCGATCGAAGCCCTCCAGCACGTGATCGAAGCCTTTCCGCAGGCGTTCGAAGCCCTCCAGCACGAGTTTGAAGCCCTCCCTTGCAATTGGATCTCGCAAGCGTTCGAAACCCTCCACTTCAACTGGATCTCCCGTCAAGTATTATTTTTATTTTTTTTCCTGGATTTTCTTTTTTTCCTCCTTTTTTTGCTATTTTCTGAAGAAACCCTCCACGATATCATCTTCTGTTGCTATCTTCTGTTGATCGTTGAAGATGTGATTAACTGTGAAATATTGATTATTTATATAACAAATCCTACTAGTTTGGGCCTTACTGTGTCTAGGCCTCTCTTAAGTCCAAGAGAGTACTAATTCCTTTGACCCAGTCCAAGAGAGGTCTCGAGTTTGATTCTGGCTATTTGCAGTGAAGAATTGCAGATTCAGCTATAGTTTCTCAATATACATAATAATTAATCAGATCCTGGTAAAGAATTACAACAGAAAAAACAATATTATATTACAGAATCTACTATAAATTGCTGAAATTATTAAAAATTAAAAATTTCTGATTTATTTTGAATGTTATATATCTATAAATTATTTAAATAATAATAAATTATTTAACCTACGTTACGTTATGCGTTATCGCTATTGTAACTTAACCGGAGGTAAGCGTTATGTTATGCGTTATCGTTATTTTCAACATTGATGAAACCTTTGCACCGGTTGCAAGGTTAGAATCTATTAGGATGTTTTTGGCATTTGCAAGCTTTAAAGGATAAACAAGATTTTGGACTCAACTTGAAAATATTTGCCAAAATATTTTATTTGACGCTCTGAAAATTCTAAAAAACTTTGTAAAAAGTTTATAATACTAAAAACAAACTGCTTAGAAAAGGAATTTGTTTGCAGATAGGATCCTCCATACTTGTGAAAATAAGTATATTTGTGAAACGCTTAAAAAACACAAGTATTAAACGTGTGTGTGATTCCAATAAGCTATCAAGTAACTCATAGACTCTTTGCCCTACATTCTAGCACCAAGCCACCATCACCCTCCGGAAGGACCACAACTACAGAGAAAAAAACAAAAGAAAGCTAATATCCTCATATAGAGAGCAATACTTGAGCTTTGATATAGCTTGAATCGGCATGAAGCTTTTAATTTGAGAGGGAAATAACGTTGCCTTCATCTCTTGGCCTCCTCGCTCCTTTGGATATGCCCATTCGTTGTAGCATATATTCCATCCATTCGCTCGACATTGAATGGCACTAGAACGAGCTTGATAAAAGAATTTACTACATTTGGCACCATAAGCCATTAGTACGCCCCGATAATGGTGGGTTGTAAAACATCATCAAAAACATAAGGCTAACAATTCCCCTTTTTGATGAAGTGATGAACCAACCATTACTAAAAGCGAAAATAAAATAGCCTTATAGGGGAGAAACCGAGAAAGCGACAAGCTAGTACGAGAAGCAGAGAAGGGAAAACGATGAGGAGGAGAACGGATCAGAGAGGGGATACTAGAATAGGAAAGGAAGGAAGAGGAAAGAGGAAAAGAGGATACGGGGCAGAGAATTTGAAGAAGACGAAACGAAACGGACGAAGAGACAGAAAAGAAGACGGATCATTTTGCTAGAGGAAGGAACGAGACGGACAAAGGGAAGAAAGGACTATACGAAAGAGAAAATGAGAGGCTACAGAAGAAAGGAAGAGGACAGGAGCAGAAGAGATTAGAGGGGAAGACGCACGAGCAGATGGAGCGACGAAAAAGGGAAAAAAAGGAAGCGAGGAAGGGAGAAAAGAGAAAAGGATGAAGGAGAAGAAAAACATGAGATCAAGGAAGAGAAGGAGAGGGAAGATAAAGAAAAAAAAGGGAGGAGGACGAACGGACGAATTTTGTAGAGAGATCGAGGAGAAGGGATTCAGGAGGAGAAGAAAACGAGAGAAAATAGGAGAAGAAGAGAGAAGAGAAGAAAAAAGCGAAGATGTAAAAAAAAAAAGAAAATATGAGAACGAAAGAGAAGAACGATTTATAAAGAGAAGGAAGATACACCAAGGACCACCGAAAGAAAGAATCGGGAAAGAATAGATGGAACGAGGAGAAAGGAGAAAGGAAAGAATTTTTGGGAAAAAGGGAAAAAAAATTAAAAAATTAGAGAGAAAGAAGAGAAGAGAAAAAAGAAGGTAGATGAAGGAGAATAAGAGGAGAAAAAAAGGGAAGTAGACAGAGGGAGAGCGACAGGAAGGAGGAGAGAAGAGAGAATCAGATGAATTGGGAGAGATTATATTTAGGAATAAGAGAAGAAGAGGGAAGGAAGAGATTTTAACGAACGGAAGGAACGAGGAAGAAGTTTAAATAAGGAAATTATAAGAAATATTGAGAGAGGGAAGAAAAATTTAGAGGGGAGGAGACGGGGAAGAGGTGAGAAAGGGGTAGAAGGGGAGAGGAGGGGAAAAGAGAGAGGAGATATTGAGGGAATTAAGGGGGATTTAGGAGGAAGGGGAGGGGAAAGGAGAGAAGTGAGGATGGAGTGAAGAGGTAGGAAAGATGGGAGGAGGGGGAGATAAAAGACGAGGGATGGAGAAAGAATAGAAGGGGGGAAAGAGAGAGAGGAAGAGGACAGGAACTGGATAGGAGAGAGAATTAAAGAGAGGAAAGATGGAGAAGCAAAATTAAAGGGAGATAGAATAGGAGAATAGGAAGGGAAGAGGTAGAAATTGGGAAAGGACGACGAAGAAAAGTTTGGAGATAGGAGTGGGAAGCAGGAAATTGGTGGGAGGAAATAAGAGAAGGGATATTATAGAGAGATTTTGAGAAAGGGGAAAAGGGGAGATAAAAGGAGGAGGAATTTGCGGAGGAAGAATAAGAGAGAATAGGAAAATTTAAAGATAATGCGAAAAGAATGAGAGAAGGAGAGAGAGAAAAAATAAATAGAAGAAGATTAAAAGAGAAGGGAAGAAAAGAGAGAAAAGAAAAGAGAGAAAGGAGGGGAATGAAGAAGAAGGAAGGGAAAGAAGAGAGATAGGAGAGAGAAAAAGAAGAAGGGGGGGGGGGATTAGGAATACGGGGAAGGAGAGAAAATGAAGGGAGAGAAGGAGAAGGAAGGGGGAGAGGAAAGAAGAGGAGTAGGGAAATAAGAAAAGGGAGAAGAAAAGGAGGAATAGGCTGTTCCCCCTATCTATGAGCTCCCCCTAAAATATAATGCAACAGAATGAGGAGAGTTCTCTCCCCTTATGTCACATCAAAATAGGGTAAAAGAGAAATGAAAAATGGCAACTAAACAGCAAACAATGTAGACCATATAATATAAATAGTGCCATAAGCCACCATTTCATTATGCGACAAAATTCCTTCCAGAAGAGAAACTTATAAAATATATCCGCTAGTTTGAGATTTTGTGTCCAAACAAATACTAGGGATACATACTTTACTTCATGTAGAGTAGAAAATGATGGCGCATATTCAATATGCTTAGTTCTAGATGGCAACGCGAATTTTTGGAAATACTTTATAGGCAGTTGTGTTATCACAAAAGATTAATATTTTGAAAATTTCAAAATCGAAGTCAACGGTAAACTTTGTTTCATCCATAAAACTTGAGCACGAACATAGGCCGGCGGCAATGCAACGCAATTTTGTTTCGTTCACAGACCACACGTGAATTCCTCAAGAATTGAGCACATGACTTAACACTAGTCTCTTGCGATCTTACCTTACACCGGCAAAGTCGGCATCCACAAAAATCATATAATCAAAAGAAGTGCTTCTTGATAAAATAAGCCAAGATTAAAAGTACCATTAACATATTTAATGATCTTTTAAGCCGGCAATTAAATGAGAATGCTTTAGGAGAATGGTTTGAAAACGTGCACATGCACACGCACTAAACATGTTCGGTCTACTAGCGTATAGGTAAAGAAGACTAGCCTATCCATTACCTCGATATAAATTTTCCTGGTCCACGTCTTCACCACTCTCACCGCATCCAAGCTTAACACTAGTACTCATATGAAGTAGGCGCGATGCTTGGAATTCTCCAAATTGAATTTCTTACACTAATTCCTTCGCATTACTTGCTTATGGAAATGAAGATGCCATCCTTAGTTGTTGACTTGGAGCGCCGAGAAACGAAAGTAAGCTCATACCCATCATACTCATCTCAAAGTGATCCTGCAATAATTACGAAATTCCAATAGGATTAATTAGTAGGCACCGAAAATAATCGTCATCCACATATATTTGAACTAAAATGAAATCATTTTTCCCTTTTTCTCACAAAAAGAGTGTTATCATTGGTTCCTCTATATGCACATTTTCAATAGAAAACCTAGAGAGTCAGAGCAACTAACAAGCCTAGGAGCTATGTTTCAAACCGCATATAAAGCTCTTGTACGCCAGGTACAACATGATTAAGGAAAAGCATAATCTATAAAACCGGGGGCTTGCATCAACATACACTTCCTGCTTCTATAAAAACCCATTTAAAAGGCACTTTTAACATCCATTTGAAATAGTTTATAAATTT